CTCCTGATTCTTCATTAAGTCATTTGCTCCACAATTATTGAAGTGCTTCTGTGGGGGGAGTATTTTATAGTCTCATCTGTTTTCTTAATTTCTTATTTATGGCACACACGCCAAAAAAAAAAAAAATCTATGTTTCTGGGCAAGAATTGTAAAGAATGACCTGACTAAAATGTTGAACACAATCAAAATTCATTGCACTTTTTTTTTTTTTTGAAATAGTGTCTTGCTTTGTCCCTAAGGCTGGGGCGCAGTGGCATGATCTTGGCTCACTGCAAACTCCACCTTCCAGGTTCAAGTGATTCTCTTGCCTCAGACTCCAGAGTAGCTGGGACACAGGCACCTGCCACCACACCCAGCTGATTTTTGTATTTTTAGTACATTTTCAGTACAGGGTTTTACCATGTTGCCCAGGCTGGTCTCAAACTCCTGGGCTCAAGTGATCCTCCCACCTCAGCCTCCTGAAGTGCAATTTTTCTATTTTAAGTGTGCTGGTTTTCTTTGGATTCTGATTCATGTAGGCCATGCCAAAAGAAAGACAAGTAAAACCATCTACTGTAACCACTTCTGCTACCCTAAGTTTATGAAGCATAAAACTTCCAGTGATGATAATCAAAACCTCAAAATGAATAAAAAGGCAATCCTCCCATGGTTGTAAAACAGAAGAGGCAAAATATGCTGTGTGTTGGTTTTAAAATATTGAAAATTTTCTGAACACGTCCAAATGTACTAATTAGGTTCTACTTTTCTTTTCTAGGTAAAACCATTTCTGAGAAATTGACAGGTGTCTGTAACTAACAAATAGCTTTCCAAAAATATTAGGATCTCAGCACAGCTTTCCATAAAATGAGTTCTCATGTAAGTCCTCACTCTTAAGTAATTTTAATAATTTACTTTAATCTTTAGATTTTTCTTTGGCTTTTATCTATCAGTAATATTCACTTAAAATTTAAAACAAAGAGTAGATGAAACTTTTTTTGACATACTTGGAGGCCTGGGGAGACCACACAGCACCATTCTATTGAGATGACTCCAAATAATTTTCACATGAATGGCTAAAGTGCAGAAATGTATAATTTATTAGGATTTAAATAAATCAAGGAGAAAGTGCTTTAAAGATATTGGTAGAAAATTTTCAAAAAATAAAGTTATAATTCTGAGAAACTAAGTTTCTATGTATAAAATTCTTCCTTCCCTATATTTAACATTTCAAAGCAAAATACTGTATGCTTAAAAAAAAAAAAAAAACTCTTTAATAACATGGATTTTTTTTAAGCATTCGATCACAGTAAAGCTTTTTAAAAACACACATGACATACTTCTGGGATCTTCACAGAGGAAAAAAAACACACACGACATAATCCAATTTTATTTTTAGGGTGAAACACCTTTCTTAAAACATGTGCTGTGTGGCCAGCAGAATGTTATAATCATTCTCTTTTGTTTCAGCAATTTCCCTGATACAATTATCATACTGGAAATATTCCCTAATGCTACAAAATTTGTCAAGAATAAAAAACTTGTTCATTGAACCTCTTAGAACATGCCTAGCTTTCTCATGGACTGACAAAGAATAAAAAGTCCCCTCTTCTTCAAGGCTGCTTACATCTTTTTCTTTTTTCAGATAACTATTACCATAACAACTATAAGTCAATAAACACTTTGAAGTTCCCCAAATAGCAAAAATCAGAAATCCACAAAGATTTGGAATGATCTAAGAAATCTGAATGTGTAAAATAAAATAAAATAAATCCCAAAACAGAACAATGACATGAACATCAGTTTTATTCACTGAGAATATATTCTTTTTAAAAAACTATGGCAGAAACATAACTATATATGAACACTGCTATTCTCAGCACTTTTTGTCTAGAAAATTCAGTGTACTATATGAAAACATCATTAAATTAAAGCATGTAAACTTATTTATGTCCAGCATGATCTTTTTAATGCCAAGGTTAAAAGGAAAAAGGCACCAGAAATATTGAAAAACACAAAGAAGCAAGGTAGAAATACTGCAAGATTATCATAATCTAATCTGCCACAGGGAAAACATTTAAGATAAAATTGAAAATAAAATAACATAGGTTATGATGTAGCCAAATTATTGTGAAATGTATCGAATCGGCTGGCTGTACCTTGTGGAGGTCACAGAAAATTACTACTTTAAAATATTCCCCCACAAATTAACATAAATAAACTGTTCTCTGTGGTTTCCAATATGCTACCTAAAAACACAATGTGGCTCCCCCGGGAGTCTGGTTCCAATCCAAGGCAGATGAGATAGATGGAGCCAGGATGGCAGCGTTTGACAGACACTAATAAAAAAGATCAGTGACATTCTACAGACTTGCAATATTCCATTTTATTAGAAGCAGTGGAGCACAGAGGTTAAGAACCTGAGCTCTGGAGTCAGACCTTCGTTCAAATGATGACTCCACCACTACAGGTTGGGTGACCTCAGGAATGCAACTTTCTCTCTAAAACTGTTTTCAAAGCTGAACAAGGTGGTACATACACAAGAGGGTAGAAATACTGAAATGTGTAAGTAGCTTATAACTCCATGAAGAGTTCTGATTTCACTACTTAGCAGACTTAATGGTTTTCTCCTTTGCATTTCTGAAGATACGGCAATATTCTTATGGACATGTCCCCAGTCTTTCTCTTTGCACTTTAGAAACTGGGAAGGGTCAGACATGTACAGACAAGTGACACACTTGCCCAAGAGTAAGAAAAGTGGCAAAGACAGTTAATTATGTTTTCTACAGGACTTATCTATTGCTTACATTTCCTATAAACTTATATGTGTTTGAAAAAGGTGAAAGTCGATGGCATGTTAGAATACATAGGGTTTTTTTAGATATCAAAATTGGTTTGCTTTAAATGGTTGATGGCTAAGGTAAACTCTAAATTAAGTGCTAAATTAAATCAAAGCCATATATTTTATTTATTTATAGACCTTAAAGAGTTGTAATTTGACTTCACAGCTTTTTAAAAAATATATGAATAACTACCAAAAGTGATTTGAATTGCATAAAAAGTAGCACCAATATATCAATAGTCCACTTTCTTCCAAAGACAAGTAATGACAAAAATATAAAACTGTAGGCAAGTTTTAAAAAGTCACTCAGAAGTTATCTACTTTTAAAAACTACAAAATGTCCTTCAAGAAAAAAACATCAAATAAGTTGATGTATGGTATTTTCACTTTTAAAGGCCAATTTCAGACTTCGGACCACTTTTCCATGCAAAATAAAAACAAAATAAATTAATAACATTTTATACTCAAAATCGTTTCCACAATGTCACAGTAAGGAAGACAGTGATTTCAAAATGCATTCCATCATGCAACTCAATAAATAGTGGGTCCTAACAAGAATTTTTATCTAATAGGATGAAAATATCAGTTGCATATTGGGTAGGTATTGTTTTGTAAACTTTTGTTCCGTGTGTGTATACTGGGTTGCAATGCAAAATGTGTCTCATTTTGAGTTGCTGTGAAAAAAGATTTGAGTCCCTCCTCCAAGGCTAAATGTTGCCTTTTGGAGCCCCCTACAGTCTCTCAATGTTAAGAACTTAAATCCTAAAGTAAGTAAATAACCCTAAAGCTGGAAGGTGGTTCAGAAACTAGCATTCAATAATTTATGCAGGAATATGCTTACACAGATAAATAGGCAGGGTCTGGTCTAAGAACTCAAACTGAACATGTGAGTAGTTCTCAATCTTGAAGCCAAATTATCCTGAAGAAAAAATTAATTTGGCAAGGTCTGGATTAGCCCTTACTAAATTTAAAATTAGAAGAACTATATCAGTATCTCACAATAATAGAAATCTGGAGGCAAACTAAGAAGAGATGAAATCACAAGGACTTTAGAAAATTGTTAATAATACATTCATCTTTATAAAGTTTTTTTTTACAAAGGGGTGTTCAGAATTTAATCAATAGAAACATGGCTAAGTGCTGAAAAGGCTTTTTTCCACCCCTACTGCTTCAAAGAATTGAGTAAAGAACAATTTTGAACAATCAAGTGCTAAACCTGAACTCCAACTAGACATGTTATTTTAAGAACTAGTAGGTCACTATATCAAAGTAGTAAAACTCTGACATTGGCTGGGGGTGACGCCTGTAATCCCAGCACTTTGGGAGGCTGAGGTTAGAGGGTCACTTGAGGTAGGAGTTCAAGACCAGCCTGGCCAACACAGTGAAACCCGTCTCTACTAAAAACACAAAAATTAGCCACAACTGTGCCACTGCACTCCAACCTGGACAACATAGCAAGACTCCGTCTCAAACAAACAAACAAACAACTCTATTAAGTGGTTAGAAAACTGAAGTGGAAGTGAGGTCAGAAATTCAGGCTTATCTTTATCTAAAACAAGCTAAAGGGCTTTCTTTCCTTGCTGCTCTTTTACAAAAGATAATTTAATATAACATACAGAGAAAAAGAACAGCGATGTTAATCATGCTTATGTTAATGAACACCAATACCCCTACTACCACCACCACCAAAAGAAATGCTTGCCGAAGCTTAAGAGTAGATGCAAACTACAAATATCTCACAATCATCAAACACTACTGTGACCTTGATTTTACCCTGTATCAAATTGCCTATCTCAGAATGTTGGCATAGTTTAGTTAACCTAAGGTCAACCGCAGAACAGGGAAGAGGCCAAATGGTAGATGATCCTGTTGAAAGGAGATATCTTGGCAATAAAATCAATTTAGCATAAATGAAGGTAATTCATAACACAAGCAGTAGCAATAGATTGCCTTTTTCTTTTTTGAGTCAGTTTTAGCTGGCCGCTCAAGTTAGGTCTTTGAGACTAAAAATGAACATAAAATGAGCAGCTCTGCAGAGCAAGGTAATGTTGGTCCATTTAATCTAAAGCAACCCTGACTCTATCATCCAATATCCCCACATTGATAAGCACAATTGTATCTGTGTTTACGGTAACATATCTAGATCCAGATTTGACTGTATGCCAGGGACTATGACTCAAAATTTATCCTTGGCTTTAGCACAATTTATTTCAAAACCAGTAAAAAATCACATAAAAACATTAATTTCTGTTAATGAGAGCTCCATTTTAGTAGAACATTTGTTCAACAGATGTAACTATGTACAGAATTATGCCTGCCCCCTCCAAAAAAGTCCCAGAACTAATGTTTACTGTAAATATATTTAGGATTAATTATGATCTATTCAAAGCAAATGGTGACAAACAGCTTATTTGCTATTTACATAAGATAAAATAAATTTTATTTGAAAAGAATGAAAATAAAGTTTACTTTCATTCTTTCAGTATCACCTTGTGTAAGCTGAAATTTAAAGAATGCTCCTCCTTAATGCGTAATCATTGGAAGGGGAATTTTATAATTTTTTTAAAATGGGAAAACCAAGTGGTAACACTTCTCTTTCTCATCACCACCCAGTCCTTAGTGCATGAGGACTGGATTTGTCCTTACAAATCTTCATCACATTCAGAACTGATGTTATCTTCAAGTCATCTCTTCTAAGTGTTTTTTTTTTCCCCTTCTCCCTATTCTACTTAAGTAAAATGTCCCTCCTGCTGTCGGCAGGCATAATGAATATCCTCAAGACAACATTAAAATAATTGCTTTCATGAAACTGCTGTGTACTTTATATGAGGGATACCAAGAAATATCCATGAACAAAATAATGTGGCTACCAAAGGTTACTTACAAGTAGCATTTTAATACCTTCTCTTTCATTCTCCAGACTACTGTTGAGAAAGCTATCCTACTTAATATTTAATAGCCAGTGACTTCAAACCCAACTTCATATTGACTGACATTCTCTCACGTTTATGAACACAACATAACACACATACATATCCACTCCTCACTTACTCTCACAAGCAAGCATACACACACATTTTCTTTCTTTCCAGAACAAGCCAGAATTACAGCTCTTTTGGTGATTGTTATAATTTTTGGAATGGTTCATAAATTTTCCAAATTCTTTTAAATTTGTAATACTTTCATCTTTTTTCTTTTTTTTTCCAATTGTGAACCATTCCATATTGCATCTTTATTGCAAAAGTCAACATGCTTCTTAGAAATTCAGATTGTAATTGATAAAACAAACATTACATATATGAATTTAAATGTATAAACAGTTAGAAATTCAACAATATCTCCTATTATACTATTACACAAGTTCACAATTTTGTAAAAACTATAATACAGGCATACTATACATCAAGAGGAACCACTATTCCTTTTCACATGATTTTTTTTTCTTTTTTGAAATAATAATCCATCACCATGGACCCTCTCACCTTACCAAGACTGTTTTCCAATTTATCATCTTAGCTGGTAACAATATTTTCTCAATGTTACATAAAGATATTGAGGGAAATTTTGCAATACTTGAACATTAATCCACTAGTATGTCAGGGTGACCTAGTCAACTGGTGGCTATTATTGCTGATCAGCTACTTACAAAGATGGCATACATATTAAGAGGAACAGAATTTGCCTTAGATACTGTATGTTATTTCTGTAAATGAAGATGCCAAGAAAGCAGGTATGGCAGTTATTCACTTTTAAGTGAAATTCTAACAGTTGAAGATTTGATGATGGAAGCAAAATATCCCAAAGGAGGCAGGGGATATATATAAACTATTTTATGCTAACCTTAAGTTTTCCAATATTATTAACTCACTTTAAATTTATCTTTGAGTCAAACATGTTTTGAAATTCTTTGAAAGCATAAAGTGTTTTCAGTCCTGTTTAAGGTGTACTGAAAACTTTTATAGAAAGGGCCTCAAATCTTACTGGAAAAAACTGTTTTTCACTTTAACACACTTCTCTTTCATCCTCTGCCTCCAATACGAAAAAGTCAAACAAATCTTCAACTTTTTACTGAGAGTGTAATAAGACATCCATTTTGAGGTTAAAAAATCATATGAAAAGGAATCTCATTCTGTTGAACTGTCAGTCTACTGAAATTTTTCTTAGTTCCATTAATTTACTGTAATTTTCAGTTTCCAAATACAAAAATACAACAATTCTTATTGAAATCTATACGCTGGTAGTTTTAGTACACAAAAAAAAAAACCAAACAAATTATTTACAAAATTATACAGTTTAAGAAAAAACTTTGTACAAAAAATATATAAATCCTTTGTTCCCTCTATCACGTTTAAACTGTCAGGACTCAAAATGTTCACCACAATGAATCTTTCAAAATATATACTGACTGAGCCACAGACATCAAGAAAAATTTCATTAGAGATGATGGAGGAGTAAGGAGCAAGATTGTGTATTCTAAGTACCCTATTCTAAAGTTTTCCTTCTTTTATAAGCTTATTTTACCTTCAGTGTTACTAGAAATATAACAATAACCTATAAAGAGAAAGTCCTTATTATGAAAGAAAATTATATGAACTTAAAAATGACCCTGGTTTGACACATCATTCCAGGAAAACATGGAGAAGAATAAAGATTATCAGAACATGGGATTTAACTTCTTTTAGCTAAGTAAATCTAGAAGCCTGATGGTTTTAAGTTCTCAGTGAATAGTTTCTATTTTGAGAAATAGTCTTTACCTCAGCAAGCAAAATCCTTGATATAGTGGTCACCAAGAACCTTTTGGAGCCAATAGCAGGTTTCAAATTTTCATACCACACATATATAAAAACAGATGTGTATATCCTTGAAAAAGTGACAGCCTATGTACATTAATCATTTTATTTCCCCAGGGGTCAGTACAGTGTAGTGTTGCTCCTCTGCTTTTCCATCTAACATTCAGAACACAAGGACATAAATTTACATATATATTTTACTTAACAGATACTCTATCCAGTGTACAGTAAAAATGCACACAGTAAAGGAAACTGTCCACTGAAGATGCATATGTTCATGGATAGCAACAAGCTACAAAATTATGAAAAAATAAGGTCTTCTGATCAAAGTCATACAGGACTAGCATTTATTACTAGCATACTCAGCCCTCAACCCCCTCCCACCCACCCCTCACCCCCAGTCACCTTACCATCATTTAAATTTAGGAAAAGAATTTCAGACACTTTTAAACCCTTCTGTGTAACTATAACTGAACTGAAGCTTCAAAAGAGGGAAAAAAAAGCTGGTGATTCTCTTCTCCCCAAAATCCTTCCATCATTCTCATCAAAACATCACTTATTTATCCAGGTGCTGGTTTGAACCTTTTACTGGAGACTGCCTGTGGTTGCCCAAATGAACCACTTACGTCAATGATGACTAAGTCAGGCCTAATAGAAAGGCAAGAGGAGGAAAAGGGGGACGAGAAAGGGGCAATAGGTGAAAGCCTTTTACATTCTGAGTTATAAAAATTTTAAAAAAGACCAGCCAAACCAGTGCTCATTAAGTATCAAAGCAAACTAAGAGTCAGTAGCAGGAAAAGTCCAGGAGTTCATATGACAAGAGAATGGAAATACTACAGAGCTAGCTACCATTGCTGTAGCATTTAAGAACACAGAGTTTGTTGTGATTTTCACTGAAATAGTACTACTACACATAAATACCATGAAAAACAAATTCAGACTGAATACAAATTGGGCTCCTCCAAAGTTAAAAAAAAAAAAAAAAAAATTAAACACACTTTTCTTCCAAGACAACTCTTGAAAGCAAAAGGGTATTTTAATTACAAATATTTCCTACTGTCTGACGACCCATCCATAATAGCTGAGAGTTAAAAGATTACAGGCAATTTTGACATTTAATTAAATTTTATCAGTAGATTATAATCCAAAATAAATTTCTGAACACCCTGTCATTTACATCATAATCCAACACCAACAGCAACAAAAAAAGGGTGGTGTGGAAAATAAGGCTCTAGAGATTATCCATGTCATTGCTGTGGATCTTCACAACTGTGTAAAAGTCACTAGGCCTTTGGTGCTTTAATATCATGTACAGTTATGAGATGTGTTTACATAGCAAACTTGCTGTTCTTGAACCTACTGTGTTGAAAAGAAAAATAAAAAAAATTTTTTTGGCTCATTGACTTCTTTTAAATAATTTTTAAAAGTTGTTCTTCTAAACAATACTCCTAAAAATTATACAGCTAGCGTCAGATTTCATCTTCGCCATGAACGAGACTCATATTCATCTTCATCTTCATCGTCATCATCAGGCAAAAACAAATCTGAGGTTTCTGTTTCCTGAAGAAAGAGAGGTTAATATCTGCTTAGTACACAACAATGGTAAGTAAAATGCTTTTTAGGCCAAAGGACAAACAGGCTAGTATACAATGCCCAGGTTGGATGGGCTTTATAAGGGATGCATGCAAGAATATCTTTCAGGGCAAAACAAAAGCCCAAAATATTTTTGTTAATGAATACAAATTCTTCTCCTCTACTAATTTTGCTAGGTTTTGTTTTTGTTTTAAAATGAAGTTTTGCTCTCGTTGTCCAGGCTGGAGTGCAATGGCACAATCTCAGCTCACCACAACCTCCACCTCCCAGGTTCAAGCAATTCTCCTGCCTCAGCCTTCTGAGTACCTGGGATTACAGGCAAGCGCCACCACGCCCAGCTAATTTTGTATTTTTAGTAGAGACAGGGTCTCTCCATGTTGGTCAGGCTGGTCTCGAACTCCCAACCTTCCGGTGATCTACCCGCCTTGGCCTCCCAAAGTGCTGGGATTATAGGTGTGAGCCACACCGCCCTGCCTAATTTTGCTAGTAGAAGATGCTAATAGCATCAGGAAAATAAATAATGTGAACATTTAGTAGAGAAAATTTTTTTTAAACTATGAGATATATTTCTGATAAGTTAATTAAAATTAATTTATCCTATTAAAAACTAGGAAAATAAATGACCAAACACCTAAATCTTTGTTTTATATCCATTCAACTGTTTGTAAGAGGTGAATATACTAACTTCCCCATGACACTGATATTCCAAATCTTATATAAAAATCTAAAATCTTAGACAAAGTAGATGTATCTGCAAACACCACCCAAATATCATGACTTTTCATTTTCTTTTAATCTGGGGAACATCTCTGCTTTTGCTATATAAAATTACTCATATAGTGAGACGATCTTTGATCAAACTATAAATGCTAGGTATCTTTTAAAATCAAGACTGTGATAAATCAGGAAAACCTCACAATGTAGCCAATGTGTTCACTAGATAAACTGATGATAAATAACACAAGTAAAAGAGCAAAATAAATTCTCATATATTTTAAGAGGCTGATATTTTGTATCGGCCTTTATATTCAACTTCTGCACACTCATTTTAACCAATTATACACAGAAGGAAAATAAGAAACTCAAATCTGTTACTATGGAACTTGAAAAAACAAAAAGTGAAATCAATCGATTAAAACTTATTTTATGTAATCTCTGACTTTATTCATCAGAATAAAAATTTCTAAAGCTCAAACAAATCCAATATAAATGTAAACAAAAAAGAACAGTCTTTCCTATACCAGAAGAAAATAACTCCCAAGACAGCTTTTTCTATCTCTAGACTTGTTTTAACTCTCTAAGAAACATCTAAACTAGTTCTAACTTGCATGCATGAAAGAAAAACCCAGTTATCTATTTTTTAATTTATACTATTTCATATCATGAAAAACACATAATTAAGAAGCGATCTAATTCAACTCTTATTTCCAATCATTAAATTTACCTCCTCCTTAACTTCTTCTTCTTCAGTCTCAGTGGATATAGATGGTACCTTGGGCTTGTGCCATGATATCTGTAGCCGGCGGTCTTTAAATTTTGGCCCTTGGTTTGCAGCCTAAAAGGTATTAGAAGAATATATAAGTTTGCACTCAAATAACTAATGATTTCTACAATTTCGGTGTTATTTAAAAAGTATAATATAGGGCAGGGAGAAATCTGTTAAGGTGGATCTACAAGCTTCAATGAGAACTAAAAAAAAATAAAGTCCCTTTTAATTAGAGCAACTATATGTTCTGGTTTGCCTAGGATAACCCATGGTTTATATCTGTGTCAGGTAAATGTTAGCATCTGTCTTGGTTGGAGTAATAAACTTTTTTTTAAGTACAGCTGCTCTACTTACAAAAGTCATGATGAGGACAAGAAATATTCTTAATACATTTATTGACCTTTGGCTTTGATATCTACATATATAGACTCAAACCTTAGAAATACATAATTTTTTTAAAGGTGAATCATCTGCTTATTCATCTCACTGCATCTCTTACAGCTCCACCTATGTTTGATAAAGTTCTTCCTATTTCCTCTTCTGAAATGCTATACAATGATAAGCACCTCCCAGCTCATCTATGCATTCAATAAACATTAATTAAACACCTACTACTATCCTAACTCATAAAACTGCTCCATTTCAAATGTTTTACTTGGTACGAATTTTTAAACATTTTTTTCTACCCAGCAAATTCCAAAAAGGGAAAGCAAATTTTAAAGACAAAGCAACACAGACAAGGGAACAGGGATCCAAAGTTTCAAAAAAAGTAAAAGCTTAGCCTTCTCTATAGCCTTCCTATCAAAGGTCCTTGTTTATAGAACACTCCCATTCTTGGGGTTCTGAAAAACATAAAAGAAGAGATTCCTTTTTATTTGGGCTTTCATTCTAGTCTATCTAGCAAAATCGTTGCTAAACCTCTTGAAGCATTTGCTAAATGTTTCCATAAAACACTTGGAGCATAGCATGGTGAGAATGTACATTAGACCAGACTCATAAATCCATTACTGCCTGCACAGACATCATCCTATGTTGTAAAGGGAAAATTCCCACCATTCCTTGCAGGGTCTAAATGCTTATAACCTAACAAAACATTATGACTCATGGGACATACCAAATTGATGTATCAAAACAGCCCTACCAAATACATATATTTACCTTTTTTTTTTTTGAGACAGGGTCTTGCTCTGATTCCCAGACTGGAGTGCAGTAGTAAGATCACACTCACAGCAGCCTCAATTCCCTGGGCCCAAGTGATCCTCCCACTTCAGCTTCCCAAGTAGCTGAGAACCATAGGCAAGTACCATCACACCTGGCTGATTTTTTTATTTTCATACACAGGGTCTCCCTGTGTTGCCTAGGCTGGTCTCAAACTCTTGGGCTCAAGCAATTCTCCCACCTCAGCCTCGAAAAGTGTTGGGATTACAGGCATAAGCCACAGCACCTGGTCTATATTTACCACCTTTTAAAAATCAGTTAATGTATATAATATAGATCCTTTACCCTTACTCTATCTTTTAACACATAGCCCAATTATAGAGAGGCTTTCACTGCTTGTTTTGTTCATTTCCATAGTATTTGAATTTCTAAATAAAAATGTTACTTTTATAATCAGAAAAAGTAATAAAGACTTTTAAATCTGTAACAACTGTGTTGCTCTCCAAAGAGGACAGGAGTTCTGTCATCCAAAAGGAATATTAAATGTATTGCATATACATTATTAAAGGAAGAACCGGAAATGTATATGCAGTCTGAAACTAAGAATAAATAATTTCTACTGTCTAACTTCTAACAAGTCAAATATATCAGCAATTAGAATAAAGATATACTATGACACTACCAAGTTAGGAACTCTCAAACATAAATGGTTAGAATCTCAAACTGATTCTAAACTGGTAAGAATCTAAAACGGATGGGGTCCACTCAGCAATTCCACATATAGTCATCGTTTGGTGTTTCTGGGGGATTGGTTATAGGACTCTCTTTGAATACGAAAATCCATGAATGCTCAAGTCATTTATATAAAATAGTGTAGTATTTATATATAACCCACACACATTCTCCATATACTTTGAATCCTCTCTAGATTACTTATAATACCTAATACAATGTATATGCTATGTAAATAGTTGTTATACTGTATTGTTTAGGGAATAATGACAAAAAATGTATATGCTCAGTATAGCTGCAACCATTCGTTTTTTTCATTTTTTTCCTAATATTTCTGATCCATGACTGGTTGAATCCATGGAGGTGAAACCCACAAATATGAAGGGCCAACTGTATAGCCAAGAGAAATGTGTGTAAATGTGTAGTTAAAAACATGTATAAGATAGCAACACTGCTTACAAAAGCCACAAAGTGGAAATAACCCAAATATCCATCAATAAGATGAAAAATAAACAGTAGTATATTGATACAACTATTATATAGTAATAAAAATGGCAAATTAATTTTACATGCAAAAATATTAATGAATCTCACAAACATATTAAACAGAAGAAGCCAGGCACAAAAGAATACACACTGTGTGACTCCATTTACATAACATTTTAAAAACGGGCAGAATACTACTGTAATATTTAGGAATGCAAATTTAGGTGATGAAACTACAGTCAATTCTCATTATCTGCAGTAGTTATGTTCTAAAAAGTTGATGCAAACATTTAATTGGAAAATGCTGAGCCACCAGTCACAGTGGAAATAGAATGAGACTCTTATGAGCCTCTAAAGCAAGTCTGTCCAACCTGTGGCCCAACGGCTGCAAATGGCCCAGAATGGCTTTGAATGCAGTCCAACACAAATTTGTAAACTTTCTTAAAACACTATGAGATTTTTTTTTCGTGCTCATCAGCTATCATTAGTGTTAGTATATCTTATGTGTGGCCCAAGACAATACTACTTCTTCCAATGTGGCCCAGGGAAGCCAAAAGATTAGACAACCCTGCTCTACAGGGTCACAATATTTTTGTCAGCTAATCAACACATACTTTGGTTTTATGTGTTTCTGTTGAAAAACATCTTATTTAATATATATTACTGATCATTAACATTGAACTCATAGCTAAAAGCACTGACTTATGCCTGAACAAAGTTTAACTAACACATGTATCTTTGTAAAGCGTATCACAGCCTCACACTTAGGAACACTAGACAGCACTTTAGAATTACATTCCGGGGCCATTTTAAACAGTTTAATCACCAAGGAAACAAAAAGTTGAGAAAAATATGGCATTAAAAAGACTGCAAAGGCTGGGTGCAGTGGCTCATGCCTGTCATCCTAGCACTTTGGGAGGCCGAGGTAGGCGGATCACTTGAGGTCAGGAGTTTGAGACCAGCCTGGACAACATGGTAAAACATCACCTCTACTAAAAATACAAAAATTAGCTGGGCATGGTGGTGGACACCTGCAATCCCAGCTACTAGGGAGGCTGAGGCAGCAGAACCGCTTGAACCCAGGAGACGCAGCTTGCAGTGAACCTAGATTGTGCCACTACACTCCAGCCTGGGTGACAAAGCAAGACTCTGTCTCAATCAATCAATCAATTTACATTATGAAAGCTGAAACAAGAAGGCAGAGCACCACCTTATTTCTATCTCAGCTGAAAATGGGCACATGAGGGGACTGGCAACTGCGTATATGTCTGAGAATGACCACAAAAGCACCACAAGTATTGATTCTGGGGTTACAAATACATTTTAGTGAGTAGATGAATTGGTAAATATGGAATTTGAAAATAAGGATTGACTGTATAAAGAAAGCAAGGTAATCATCATAAACTGAGGCCGATGGTTACTGCTCTGAGAAGAGACTGGGAGGAGGAACGAGTGGGGCTGGGGTACTGGAAATGTTCTATTTCTTGACCTGAGGGATAGGTGTATAGGTGTCTGCCTTCTGATAAATCACTGAACTATATGTTTATGATTAGTATAGTTGGTTTTTATCAACATTTTAAATTGACTATAGGTATAACCTTTAAAATTTTTAAGGAAATAGGCTGGGTACGATGGCTCACACCTGTAATCCCAGCCCTTTGAGTCTGAGGCAGGTGGATCACCTGAGATCAGGAGTTCGAGACCAGCCTGGCCAACATGGTGAAACCCTGTATCTACTAAAAATACAAAAATTAGTCGGGCGTAGTGGCACATGCTTATAATCCCAGCTACCTGGGAGACTAAGTCAAGAGAATCCCTTGAACCTGGGAGGTGGAGGTTGCAGTG